CCTGCTGACAACTGCCGTAACGGTATTGTATTTTTTTTCACTTAGCAACAGCAGTAAGATTTTTTCCTTGCCCAATCTTCAGGTGTGAAAATGTATCTTCCTGCTTCAGCCAGCTGGAGGAAAAAATAGAGGAACATGCTAAACACCTGAGAATGCTGCATTCATTCTCCCTTCGGAAAGTTAAAATGGTTGTGTCTTTTTCCAGATTACTTGTTGCCGCTCCCTTTTCTATGAAGCCCTGTTTTTCTGGCATTTTTCCTAGCTAGAGCTATCTCTCCTGGTTGTGTTTTAAAGTCTTCTTTTAACATTTTCTCCATTCATGGCTCGTCTAACATCACTTTCTGTAGATGTAATCCTGTTCTGACACATCAGACCTTTGGGCACCTCCTCAATGTCTGCTGCTACTGTGTATCTCTCGGGAGCGTGGGTGAGGTTATACAGCAAGTTATTAAAGTCTCTTTGCTTTATTTTTCCAGGGTCATGAGTTAAGTGACATTAACATTCTCTCCAGCTATGTTCACCTACAGAGGCTGGATCTTTCATATAATAAAATTAATGGTATGTAGTAAATACACTAGTAAATTCTTGGGTTGTGAAATCATTTAAGATGAGAAATCCACTGTACCATGTAGGTTTAATATCACAAAGCCTGGTCTACGTTTTAATGGTGTAACTACTCCATCCCTACAGACCGAGGTGATGGCTAGGTCTTCTTGAGAATGATGTATGGACTGTTCAGACAGCATATGCTTGTCAGCGAGAGCATGGAGATTATTGTCCAGTTTATTATCCAGAGATAAAATGCAAGCAAGCATGTCAGTACAAGATTAAGGTTGAGATTTTACATGTCATAATATTTAAAGTTATGTCTGGTACAGTTTTCCCAGCCTTGGGCTTTCCTTTGTCAAGGTTTCCCATTAGTGACAAAATGTAAAAAAATATATCCTGGATTTAGAAAGGTAACAAATGGAGACTGGGGTAAAGTCCATCATCTTCTGTTCCTGCCCTCTCCCTTGTACTCCCCGACACACTTTTTTAATTTAACATCAAAAGGAATAAGCAGTGATGGGCAACCTGTTGCATTATTTATTGGAAGTTTATTTCACTTTGGGTGCTGGGGTCCAATAATAGGAGCACTTTTGTAAGGTGGCACTTCTCTGTTCTCATTTTACTCACAGTTTGTGAAGGCTAGGTCTGAACAGAGCCAGGACTTTTCCATAGTAACTAGCCATTTAGCCTTCAGTAGTGGCCTAAACACTTTCCTCCACTAATTAATCACTTCGGACAGAGGTAGTCTCTCTGTTATCCCAGAGGTAGCTAGAATATAAAACTATATTCTGGTTTACAGACAAATCAGTTGATGTAATGGAAATGTAAATAAATAAAATATTTATAATAATTTATAAAATAAATAAAATAAATATTTATTCTTTTCGGTTTGGAAACCACCTTTTTTTCTAGTCAAAGGTGTTAATATATCTGATTTCTGCATTTCAAACATTGCTTTCTGAATGTGTAACTACAAATTGATTCTTGGTTGCTATTCGACATAATTATCGCGTTTTGACATGATGACCTCTGCATTTACCTATGCATTTATGTACAGGTTTTGACATTTTGTTTTGGTACTAGATCTTTCTTGTGTTGGTCACATGCCTCACTTACTACAACTCAATGCTTCCAACAATGACTTGACTACATATTTCAATTTTAAACCACCTAAAAATCTCAAGGTAAGTTGCAAAAAGAATCCATTTTATAGGTTTATGTTCAAAACGGTTTTCTAAATATAATTCAGACATTGTACTTGGACATGTACAAAAGCAATTTTTTATGCCTTCCTTATTATTCGTTCTTACCTCCTTTGACATTTAAATAACTTTTCCAAATGTTTGTTGCCCACTTTAGGTTATAAAAAGCAGGAGGTTGTTTTGAAATATGACCTTCATGTGTTTCTCTGTCTTCTCTGTTAGTTTTTTTAAATATGAATGCATAATTACAGAACCATGAATGATAATGTTGTTGGAAGGAAGTATAGTTTTGGAAGTTCCCAAAATGTGAATTCTATGTGTCATAAAAAAGACCCTTTCTGTTTATGTCCCAATCTTAATATTAATTATAATTTTCTTTCTTCCACACCCTTGATCTCAAGTTTAATGTAGCAGCCATTTAGTTTCACAAGACAGCTGTAACTGCTAAAGAAAAAAAAAAAAAAGTAACTTTCTGTCTCCTTTTTACTTTAGGAAGTAGATTTCTCAAACAATCAAATACCTAAAATGCAAGATTTGTCAGCATACCAGTCACTTACTAAACTCTTACTGGATTGTATCCTTTGTGGGAACTTGAATGGAAGAAAAGTTACTTGTTTGCTTCCTGACCAGCTATTTGCTTCAAACAGATCTTTGTTTTCTTTGTAGTTTTCCTTCATGTCAGTTTTGTCTTTAGATTAAATACTGTAATTCTGGTGGTGAAACTGATCTTCATTTACTTAGAGAAAGTACACCTTCCATGCTCTCACTGGGGTACCCAGTTTGTGGGATTAGAAGCATTGTTCTGGCAGGAATCAGATAAACATCAACCTGCAAATTGTGGTTTGGTTTTTTGGTGGGTTTTTTTTGGTTTTTTTTTTGTTTTGTTTTGTTTTTTTGGTTTTTTTTCATTATTTACTTCTCCAAGACTGTCCATAGTACTCCCTAAAGACTCTCTAACACTTTTCTGAAAGATCTTCTGGAGTTTCACATTGACATGGTGCCTTCCTTACAATTGCTTCCCAAGGCTCTTGAACCTTTCCTCGTTGCCTCATAAATTGTACCTTGATTTTCTGCTCTCTCAAAAGGAGAAGACAGCGAGCTGTTGCGTTTTTTTTTTTTCTCTGTCTCTTGTCCTCGTAGTAGCCCATTACCAAACAATATTAATACAATGCCTTTTTCATGTAGGAGCAGATAAAGCATTTGCAGGGCATCCAAGTTACATTATTCACCCATTTTACAAGGTGTGCAGGTGACATGATTCTTGTCAGAAAATGGCATTGAGACACTATCCTTTTGCAATTCTAATTTTCCATCTCCGAGCAGAAACCACATGGCAAAATGAAAAGGAAAAAAAAAAAAAAAGATCAGAGATTTGTATTGTGGATCTGAATCGGTATTTTTTCATTTGGTTTCAATGCAGCAGTGTGCTGTCTTCAATTTCTTCATTTGCCAATGCAGATGCCATTGAAATGGGGAGAAAAACTGTTTCATGCATATAATTGCAACAGGACCCTCTGAACTAGAGGAAAATTAGTGCAGAATTTAGAAGTGCAGCATTTAGAATAGCCAAGTGGCATGGTTCCTAACCCATGTCAAGCACTCCTCGCCGAAGACATGGCAGACAAAACAAGCTGTTCTTCGTAATCGTAAATGAAAATATTACATTCAGTATCCTGCAGGAGCAGAAATTCTTGGCATGTATTTCTCATTGACAGTAACCAAGCATTTCTTACCAGATTTAAGTGAATTATAATGCAGATGGTAAGGTCACTGTAATTTTTTTTTTTTCCGACAGGTGCACACACCTGACAGGTTTATAAATGAGTTTTCAAGGAGGAAACTGCCCAAACCAGAAAGGGAGACAGCTTGGACAATAATATCTGACAAAGCATTACAGTGAGTCACTGAAAGACTAAAACTTCTTGTATCAGTTTTTAGTGCTGAGCAATTTGCTGCCTTGTATTGATGCTTTTGGCTTAAACAATATTTTTTCCTCACCAAAACTTTTCCTTCTCAGTTGAAAGAGAAGCAGTCCCATTTTGTATGAAAATCAATCAATATCTCTCAAATATCGATGCCCGTGGATGGTTTTGGTTTCGTTTCTAAAATGACAGAGGCAGCCTAGTGTGAGGTCCTACGAAAAGATAAATCTGCTTGTGAACTCCATCTCTCCTCCTAGTCCTGTGAGTGTAGAACTTGAGCGTACAATTAAGTCCCTGTGTAGGAATGCAGTTAAGAAAAGATAATTAGGTCACAGCTATTAAAGAGTATTCTCTTGGTCCTGGCTAAGCTTACATTTTCTTTGGTTACAATATCATTCAGACTGAGAGAAAAAAAAAAAATCCTGATAATTGGTCCAGTGCCTGGTAAGACTAGAAACTATGAAAATTCACTTGCCCTTCTCTACAGGCAGAATTCATTCTCTCAAGTCGATTAAAAATGTTTTCTTCTGTGATTACCTAAAGGCATTTCTCTGTGTCTTGCATTTTCTGGCACTTTTTTTTTTTTTAATTTCTATTCCTTAGGTTTTTATGTACCTAGTTCCAGCTGGGACACTTACAACTCAGGTACCTCTGCAGGTCATCCAGCTGTAAGAAAGCGATCCGAGGTGGCTTGCTGTCAAAAGAAACATGCTTGGTTTAAAGAATCTAGTTAGTTCTGTTGCTGCTGAAGTTTGCTGAGAGGAATCCTAACTATTTTACTGCTGCTTTTGAGTTTAATGTTAATTTAAAATACACTTTCCCCTTTCAGTACAGATGGCCGATATAGAACAAAAAAGAAAAAGCCAAGCAGGGAAGCAATAAGTTCCAGAGTAGGGGTGGGTATGAGCAGCTGGGATTTTAATCTCCTTAGCATGAAGTATTTGATATCCATCTCCCCATAGCATAAAATTCAGCTCCATTGGCTCATTTAGCTACTAATTATTGCTAAAGTTTTGTGTTCAGTTCTTTTCCTTAAATGCAAAAACCTCTGTGTAGTTAATAACATAGAGGAGATAAGAGGACTGGAGAAGTGTCGCAGTCTGACTCATCTGAGTTTGTCACACAACAGGCTCGTTGCGATCAGTGGCCTTGAGAACTTACCTATCAAAATACTCAACCTGGTAAGAAAGAAGTAATTCTAGTTGTTTTCCTGTTTGTCTTTTATCAATATATTCATGCATTAATAAATGTGAAGGGAATTACGTTACACATATCTTGGAAAAATTGTTATGTAATACTGGGCACGTTATTTTATTAACTCAGAATCATCAAATGATATAGGCTAGAAGGGAGCTGTGAAGGGCATCTGATCCAGCTGGGTTTTGAATTTCTCCAGAGATATTTTGCATTTGCTCTGGGTAGGTTTTGTTGTTGCTTAGATGATGTATAAGAAGATATGCAAATCCCACAATGCAAACAATGATTATTTTATTTTTTAAAAGTACATTTCTTCATGAAGTTGTGTTCATGATAGCAGTGAGCTAGGACAGGAGAGGAAAAAGCGAGGACTGAGAAGCCTGCATTCATTTTAGAAAACAAGTTGAGTATTCAAATTGTATTATTAAAGGATCTTTGTTTAATTTTTAAGGATTTGGGAGCTTTATATTGCCAGCTTTGCATCATGATATCTAGGGTATATTTGTTTAAATAAACCATTTCTAGGTTGTATTTCTAGATGCTTTGGTGGGATTTATCTTATCTGGCTTCAGATTCCTGCCGTGTAGACAACTGCACGTGAGCTAGTTGTTCTCTGCTGCCTCAAAAGTCCTCAGAGAGAAATGAACACTTAAAATACTTCATTATTCTGATCCAGCTGCTGACATCTGCATTAACACAAGACGCTTCAGGCCTTGAAAGTGTCTGTTTCTCTCTGTTGGTTACAAAGATAGCCAAGGATAACCAGCCCAGTTATAGACCTCTTTCTATCAACACATACACATGTTTGCATGCATCTTGCTCTTTTGCATTTATCTCAGTGTTCCTCAGTTCCACGCTCGTAAAACACCCTTAATAATACCAATGATTTTTTCTAAATAATTTCACAATACTTAATAAGGAGCCATCAATACAGAGGTTGCGCAGAAACACAAGCAAAACCTATTTTTAATACAATTTGGTTTCTATCAAACACATCAGTCTACTTCTTAATAGGTTTTACTTTGTAATAATAATTTTAATAGTACTTAATGGGATTTTAAAAATGAATACTAAAAGACTATACATAGAAATATGTTCGAATTTGCTGCATTCATTTTAAGCACATACATCAATATTTTAGGTAAAGTGAATTAATCCCATATGAAGAATAGAAATATTCTTTCCCAATCCTTTTAAAATTTTAAAGATTTTTCTTCTGTTCTGCAGTAATTGATATAGAAAAGAGTAACTAAAGTCTGTACCCATCAAGGCCTGATTGGCCCTTCTACTTATTACTGCTTTGATATTCAGGAAAGGTCTTCAGATTTAAAAGTGGAGAGTAGTATGTTTTGAATAATATATTCAAGTAGCGTTCAATAACATGTTTTTAATATATTTCAAATATATAATATCTTCAGTAGCTTTCAGATATGCCCTTAGTGGCAATAAAACTGAATTTTGTCTAATTTTTTAGTGGATAAGATTAACTCAGATTTGCAGAATCGTGCCTAAAAGTTCTGAAATGAACTATAGGATATGACCATCTAAGCTGGCAAGAAGATCTTTTCTCTAAATTCTTTCTTCAGGGAGAACTCCAGTGACTCGCTCGCCCATTGTGTGCACTGGTTTCCTTGTCTGTTAAAAGATCTAATAATAAATCTGTTAGTAATGGTTATCAGCCCTGCGAAATGTTGTGGAGGTTGTGTTAACAACGCAGCTTATTAATATGAACGTGTTCTTCAGTTGTGCTTCTTCCATGCTGATATGATTATTTATACAACCGCTTGTCTTTTTTAATTAGCAAAGTCGATAGTCATGTGGAAATTATGTAAATAGACAGATTTTAGCATAGCATTTTCTTTTCTAATTAGAACAAAATGTGGCTCTTTTTTTTTCTTTTTTTTTTTTTTTTTCATGGAAGCAGTTATCCCCTCTCTTCCCATTGATTCAGCTTTCTTTTCCATTTTCCCTTGAGCTTTTTAAGTTGAAAGAAGGTCTGAAGTTTTGGAAGAAAGGCTTCAAAACCTGTAAATACTGCCTAGATGTACCAAAAAGCATTTATTCTGCTTAAGTTTGAAAAAAAAAAAAAAAAAAAAAAAAAGTGGAGCTCTAATGAACTGGACTCTTAGGAATTGCAAAAAAACCCCCAAAACTATGCAGAAATCCCTTTTGTTCACAGAATTTTAGGTGCACCTCTTGCATAGCATTTTGGGACTAGAGCTTGAAGCTGTATGTATTAAACAGAGGTCTAACGAAGAACAGGAAGAGAAGAGAGAGCCTCCATGCTATTAATAACCTAATTAAACATTTAAAAGTCAGGAAAAATGTCAAGGACAAACAACTGGATTACCATTAGAGTCTGCTGGCTTATTTATTTCAATAGTTCCTAAATATTTATTAATAGAATATGAGGCTTCCAAGCTTTCAGCACAAGGTGATGCTGATGGAAAAATAGAACTCGCAAGGTTATACAGAAAGAATTACGTGGAGAGGCCATCTGGGTACGTGTGGCCGTTGGGACAAAGACGAGGACAGAACCGAGCCTGTTACACCTATTTGGAGTTCAGAGCAGAAACGAGGATATGATTTGTGAGGCCCTGAGAAATGAAACCAACTGGTGTCCGGTGATAAATGTAGGTCTTCTGTCCTGTACCTTGTTTGGAAGGAATTGAAAACAATGATAGTTCTGAGCTCTCAGGAGCTTGGGTCATTTCTTGTATTAGGATGTGGATGAACTTACTGTAAGGCAGGTTTGGTTGATTTTTTTTTTTTTTTTAATTTTTATCTTTAACATTTCTGTGTGTGCTGTCACTGACAGTAAATAAAGTCTGCCTTCACTTAGTATTCATTAAGATAAGCTTGTGCATCCTAGAGATGCCTGTAGTCCAAAGAAGACAATACTTTTATTATTCTACCTTAATATTTTCATTATTTATTCAGTAATCATAAGTGTAAATATAACCATGATTACAGAGGGAAATTCTATGTATTTATGTATATATATTCTAGACTTCTATGTGCATATATATTTTCAAAAGTTTGAGTTGGATAGTGACAAGTGTATCCCTTAGCCAGGATCAGCTTTAAAAGCTCTTTTTATTGCTCTTGTCTCTCACTGCTGTTCAAGGTGAGTTGAAGAGAAGTTAATCAGAAGATGATTCTTTTTTCCTTGAGCAGTACGGAAAGCTGTAATGTGTCATCTCAGGATGAACACAGGGCTAATGTATAAAAGGCCTATTTGTAATAGGATTCTTAGTAATAAAGCGAACTCTCTTCTTCTTCAAAAATGTTGTTTTCCAGCTGTAGAACTTTATCAACACTTTATATACTTTCATTTCTTTGCAGAGCGCTAACCAGATTGAGAAGATAACTGGGTTGGACAGCTTGAAAACTCTGCAGAAGCTGGACCTATCTACGAATAAAATAACTAGTCTAGAAGGCTTGGAGGAACACGATCTGCTAGAGGTGATCAACCTAGAGAATAACCAGGTAGCGTACCTAACATTGATCATGGCTTTTTCTACGAACACATAATGTATTTTTTTTTTCCTAAAATTCAATCCCTTTAAAACTTAATAAAAAAAAAATCTTACAACACTGCAAGAAATGAATATTAGAGAAGGTGAGGTTTTTTCCTTTGGTGTTTCACTCCAGTACTGTTTCACGTGTTGATCAGTAGTGTACTCCTCGGTCCTTATTTTCTACGAACGCATAATGTATTTTTTTTTTTTCCTAAAATTCAATCCCTTTAAAACTTAATAAAAAAAAAAAATCTTACAACACTGCAAGAAATTAATATTAGAGAAGGTGAGGTTTTTTCCTTTGGTGTTTCACTCCAGTACTGTTTCACGTGTTGATCAGTAGTGTACTCCTCGGTCCTTATTTAATATCTCTGGATGGGTTTGTCTTTTTGTAGGTATCACTTCTGTAGTATTTAGTGCTCGCATACTTAAAGAACTAACAGCACTCCCCTGAGTGGATAAGACAGGGATGAAGATGCAGCTTTTTCAGCTTGATTATTCTTGAGGATCTTTACTTACATCCCAGCTTTTCTACTGCCAGGCCTCAGGAGGGTTTGCTAATATATTTCAGCCCAATTTTATGACCACAGATTCTTCTGAGCTCTCAGCTGGAAACTTCCTGTAAGGCAGAACTGCATGTACTCTATTATAAAATGGCTTTTGTTATGCAGCAGAATTTTCACTGGAAGTACAATGATACAATCCAACTCATTTGTATTTGAATTCTGAAACCCAAGCCATAGATACAGAATATCAATAGATATTGAACTTCCAGGGTTCTTAACTGAAAAGACCGTCAATTCATGAATCATTTTGACATCAAAGACAGATCTGCATGTGAAAAAAAAATCTTAAAAAATAAGAAATAACAATATAAACCAGGAATTGAACACTTACTGTCATTTTTCCCCACTTGGAAGATACATTTATGGGATTTAATTCAAGACACTGAATTCTTTTTTTCACACTGTGTTCAGGTTGACATTTAAAGGTACATCAATTGCACAAGACAGGAAACTAACAGTACGGTTGCCGTTAACATTAATAACACCACTTCCATCGCCTCAAATAGTTTCCACTGTTCTTTATAGCATGCAAAAGCTATTAATTTTACCTCATCAAAATTTGCCTCTTTTAATGATGTTATTGGAACTGTTTAGTGAGTCACGATTTTTTGAACATTTCCTTCTGAAGAATAATTTCAAGAGAATTATAATTAATTAACACAGAAAGACCCAAGTTGCTTCGCCTCACTACCACCCAGAATGATCTTAAAGGCTTGATTTTTTTTTCAAAACTGGGCACAATAGGTTTATCTGCAACCTATATCTCTCCTATATGTGTTCAGTGTTTTTCAAATGTTGACAGTTGGCATTCTATGATTTATTTAGGAAATCCACCCAAATGACATCTAACTTGGTCAAAACTGTTCCGTGGTGGGCTGCTTGTTATCCCAATATCCCAATCCCTATACTGGAAGGCTAGGGTTGAGTTTTGGTTTTAGGCACTTTACATAAGCTGAGTATAAGTTAGGGATAGAATCGGATTATCCCAAAATGAATACTGGATAGGCTAGGGTTGAGTTTTGGTTTTAGGCACTTTACATAAGCTGAGTATAAGTTAGGGATAGAATCTGAAGTCTTCTAGGTTCAATCTTTCAGCAATGGAGGAAAAACAGGTATTCTTACACGGCAATTCATCCCAACCTGCCATGGACCAGATGACCTCTGGAACTGCCTCTCTCCACTGATTACAGGGTGAGGTGAATGACTGATTTGGGCTAACTTCACAGACGGCTAAAACGAGGTGACGTGAATTCCATTTGACCCATTTTGTTTTAATGGAGAGCATTGCAACTGTTCTCTCAGGGCCTAGCACGAGTGCCTCTAGCGTGACTTTGCTTTGGGCACACAAACTCTGATAAATCTCACGTAACTTCTAACACTTACCTGATGTGCCTGAGTGCAGCCAACCCAGATTTTCTTTGTGGATAGATGAGACCATAAGTGGGATGCATCACCCTCTGGACACAGACAGCCAAGGACAACGACGCTGACGCTTTTCAGTCAAGTGCTGCAAGTTAGGTACAATGAACTTGAGCTCCAGTGAAACACTCTTCTTGGAAGGATTTTTTTTTTACTAGTCAACTGAAGCACAAATATAACTGCAGAATTGCTTCACTTAAGCACATCAGCCACATAAAAGCTAAATGCGCTAGGGCTTGACATTTGAAAGAACTGGAAAAATGCAGGTGGTTTGAAATTGCTGTCTGTATTATATTGCTTCTCCAGCTACCATCCAAGTTGTCTGCCTTTTGTGACTACAAGTGCCTTATTGAATGCAGTTAACATGTATACCCATTTTGTGAGTATAATGATTTTTTTTTTTTATGTCCAGATTTTAAGAGCAGGGATTAAAAGACTTCTTTTTTCCCCCCATAGTTGTCATGGATTCTGTTGCTGCTGATTTATGCTCTGTTTCTGTCACTAATTAGATTGCTGAGCTGCGTGAACTTGAATATATTGAAAACCTGCCTCTCCTCAGAGTTTTAAATCTTTTAAAAAATCCTGTACAGGTAAGAAAGAACTAAAGAGGAAGACAGAAATAAGAACTGCTGGTTTGGATCACACCAGAATTCATTTAGCCTCTGTTTCTCTGAGAGTGGCCAGGTCATTTCAGGGAACAAGTACAAGAAATTATTAGTGGTTTCCCTGGCATGGTTACCCACCTTTGTCTGGCAACTTTGTCTGAACCAAAGCTGCATATGAATCATGATGTTTAATATCTGTGTAATAAATCCATGAATTTAAATAATTCCATTTGTGAATCCATTTATGCATTTGTACTCACGTATACTGTGATTTTTACTTGGGAAAAGATTCCCTTTTTGTTTGCGTTGAAGGTCTGTACTCGATTGTTCCTGGGAAAAGCTCAAAGGAACTTAATAGTACCCCTTTTAAAATCACGTATTTCTGGAATCTGTATCTTCTTTTCTTCTTTAGGATTTACTCAGTTCTCATTTATGACTCCCATAATGTTCCTCAATTAATGGACTAAACATCCATTATATCAACAACAATGACATTCATAAAATATCAGAAATTCTGACTTTGACACCTCATTTGTAATTTGTCCTGAGTGATCAAAGATGGTTTCTATCCTGGATTTTGTGATATCTAAATTATGTTTGGATCTTACAGTGATTTCCAAAGTCAGAGAGAAGAAAAATGTGTAGGGTTTAACTTCTCCTTCCTGTAATTGCCAATTTTGTGTTGGCTTTTGTGAGAATGGCCTGTCATGGTGCACCATGAAATTAGCATGAAAAAATACCTAAAATAGGCTGCCCCTGACCCTCCATAATCTGAAGGCTTTCTACGGTTTAGATGTCCTTCCCCTAAGCAAAGTCTTCTCCTATTCCTTTCAATTACTCTTTTAAAAACTTATACATGCAACAACCATCTTAAGACAGCTGTCTGAATTTCAGTGGTTTAAAAGGACCTTACTGGTTTTAGAATGAAGAAGCTTCATGAACTCGTCAGTGTCAGCTTTTTAATTTAATTTTTAATTATTCTTTTTTATTGTCTCAGACTTAAATTTGGCATCATATATGCCTTTATCATCAAATCCTCTTTTAAAGTTCCTACAGTACTGCTAAGGCTAGAAGTATTAACCATAGTTTATCACATAAACCCAGGACAGATAAGGCTTTTGGTTCTCCAGCAGTTTTTCTTGGTGTTTGTAAGATGATGATTTTTAAATTCCCATTGTGACATTTTGAACGATGTATAGCAGACTTTTGAAGAACTATTAACTTTTGTTGCAGAAGCTAAGCTTGTGGTTGGGGGGGTCAGTTTGTACAGTGTATTGACATCCTTCAGGGCAAAAAGCTTTTTCTGTTGCAATGTATTAAGGCCAATTTAATTTTGACTGATTGAAATGAAATATTAGATTGATGAAGTTAAGTACTTTATGGCAAAGTGGAAACTTTCTCCTTCAGGAGCAAACAGATTATTGGCTCTTGGTGATTTTCATGTTGCTCCAACTAACGGAGCTGGATCTCAAGAAGATTTCAGTGGAAGAAAAGGTATGTAAAAGTCATATAAATCTGGAATTTTTCTAAAGAAATAATATGAAAAACTGTGCATGCAATTGTAGCTTTGTAGTCATTTGGGTGTGACATATCTCCCATGTTTCAGCCCCCAAGGTAGGGTACAAATTCAGATACTTTTGCTTTTAAATCCGGATATGTATCTACAGAATTTCTGGAGCAGCTGTGATAAGTAAAAATGCAAAATTTACCTAAATGTTTTGTTCAGTGAATAAATTTAGTTAGCAGCTGTTGTTACTGAGCTAGTGAATCTAAACAGGCAACTACGTTCATTAAATACTCTGAAGGTAGTAACCACTGTGCTACTTCTAAAATACCATTGTTGGGGTGTTTTTTTAGTGACGCTTACAGCAAAGTGAATTCTGAAAGTTATAATGATGCTTATTTCCCATTCTACTCCGTACAGCTTTCACTGTCAAATCTTCTCCCAAAAAATAACTGCTCAGACTGCTTACAGTAATTTTCTGTTGTAATAGAAACCTTTTCCTCTGGTGCTGCTGTTACTGTGATTTGGTTGCTGCGTGTAGCATTTGGGCCCAAGCCATGCTCGAACTGTTAGGATTAACAGCTGCCAATGGGGGTTGGATTTCAGGGAATTATCCTTTAAAAATGATCCTTACAGGAAATTCATCACTCTTAATGTCAGCTGCATAAATATTAGGGTTCTTGTTTAATGCCAGGATCTTTCTATCATGAACACAGAGAAGGGATGATACCAGAGTGTAAGTTACCCCACCTACCCGAGATGTTGATCTCGTTCTGTCTTATGTGGCAGTCTGTTTTCCTCCCAATAAAATCCTGAATATATTAAATAATTTTTTCCTTCTCTATAGACTGAAAATGTAAGCCTGGGTGACTGGTTTAGACTAGCATTTAACTTTTTGATGATTAAAGTTATTTTAGAAAAATAGAATCATAGAATCCCAAAATGGTTTGGGTTGGAAGGGACCTTAAAGATCATCCAGCTCCACCCCCCTGCCATGGGCAGGGACACCTCCCACTAGCCCAGGTTGCCCAAAGCCTCATCCAGCCTGGCCTTGAACCCCTCCAGGGATGGGGGCATCCATAACTTCCCTGGGAATCCTCTCATGTTATTTTAGGACATCTACTCTAGCTTCATAAATTCTGTTGTCAAACTGAATTTGGAGGCAGCAGCTCGTCTGTCTCACTAACCCACAAGTGGGATATACAGTATCGGCTGGTTGATGTTTGATGATCTCCATGAAATGACTCAGTAGTTCTTAACCTGTATCTGAGTGGGTTGGATTATTAATACCAAAAAATATACAGCTTAATAGTGGTCAGTACCCTCAGCAGAGCTTCCAACAGAATGAATGGAGGGAATCCTTGGAGTTTGAGTGCTCTTCCTCCCACGAAAGACAGAAATGCATTGTCAGGAGAAAAGTGGAGTTTGTTTACTTTGTTAATGCCCATTCTGTTCTTCTGATGAATAAATGAATGGCTTTAGTCCCTAAGGGTTTTAGTTTGGCACCTTCCACCAGCACTGAGAGGATGCAAATTAATGGATAATTAAAACCTAAGCAAAATTACTTTGCATCTTATGCGGCATCCTGTTTTCTTTCCAGTAAAAGGTTGATTCTATTAAAGATGGTGAGCTACGTCTGGCTGCCTTCCATCCATCTATCAAATTGTGCTTAAATCTCCTAAAAAAGATTTATGTAGCGAAGCACTCACAGACAAGCCAAATACAAAGACTGACCCTCATAAATACGAAACCATCATTATTCACAGTGATCCGCGAAGCATATTGCAGCTGGAAGCAATTCCATCACTGCTCTTCTTTCTTTTGTCCCTAAACTGTGGAAACAGGTTGCTGCTGTGAATAAATATGATCCTCCTCCAGAAGTTGTTGCTGCTAAAGATCATATGACTCATGTCACGAATAGCATGCTGCAGACCCAGAGAATCTTTGACAGGTAAGCTCACCTCCACTTCACATCTGCTCCTGAGGGTGGCACTCAAGTAAAGCAGAATATGTTGTCATAGTTAGAAGGACATTTTTCTGTCCCTTTCCAACCTCTAAATGAATCCAGCAAAGAGGAGAAGTTCCATAATATTCTGTTAGCAGGCTGGAAATTAGGCAAATCTTATTCGGTTGAAATTGATTATGAAATGAAGTTAGTCATTCACCTCTGAAGTCTGAGACAGATTGTCCACAGCTCCGTTTCTTTTAAACAATCTGTTGAAACAGATGGCCATGTGCACCATAAATGAAAGATGGAAAATTTCCATCAGTACCCAAAGGCAATTTAAAAATCTCTAGAGGGAGAAGAGAGCCGTGTAAAACATTTCTTCCTATTCTGCTTACTCCTTCTCTTCACACTGTTGGCATCCCATTGTGAAGCAAAATGGCTTTATTTTGTGGCTGTGGGGTACTTTTTATATTCATAAGGTGAAATTTTCAAGTTTGTATTTAGGGAATTCCAGCTCCTGCCTTTGGGAGGAGATGATGCTGACTGCCACTTAAAAAACAGAAGGGAGAGGCAAATCAATGCACTTTTTCCTGTGTTGCCATTGCCGTGCCAGGTGACTTCTGTCAGTCTCATTTCTCATCTAGAAAATGGAAATGGCCATACTGTGCTGCTCTGCAGATGCGTTATGATATTTGCTTGATGAATGCTTGGAAAAGTCTTTGACAGACACTGATGGAAGATACTATGAAATATAGGTGATTTATTATTATATTGGCTACAGTGGGCACTGAGATCGACTTTTGTGCCCTTCACCCTGTTTTAGCACCATTTTGGACATCTTAATTCATAACTGATTTAAGATCCATGATTTAGTATCTCAGAAATTTATATTTTTACAATATCTTTATTGGGAGTCTTATATTTTCTGTGATTGTCGATGAAAGACAGGAGCCGTCCCAGTGGTGATGCTAGCTCTGAGAATTCTTAGCAGCCTATTAAAAAAAAAAAAAAAAAAAAAAAAGACCCAAAGATTTATTTACTGTTTTGCAGGGTTAGAGATTTCTTTAAAAAGAAAAAAAAATAAAAAAAAAAAGAGCACAATTGTTTTACCTAAAGGCATGGATTTCATCCAATGCAGACATAGGCTCTATTCAAATATTTGTTTACTGGATTGTGTGTGTGTGTCTTCATTGCTGGAAAGAAACCATTCTGTCTTCTGTTGGAGGTATTGTATACACAAACATATAAACAGGCAGACCAGCATTTATGGTACTGACCAAAATTGTTAATGGTGCTTTGAATGTTTGCCCGTGCTCAGCTGGAAAGCACACAACGCAGTCATTAATGAAATTTTCCTAATGATGATGTGTTATGGTCTTCTCGACTAGAAAATGCTTATTGGAACCAGATTGGTAGAGTTCATTTACATCTATATTTTTAAAGGAGATTGTAATTAATTCTTCTTTAGTAACATCTCTATTAAAAATCAAACCTGAAAACAAAGCAAAAAGTTACATTGTCGCATACTCTGCAGCCAGGAAACATTAGCATTAAGTTTCTTATGCTCTTCCCTCTCTGTGTGCAGTGTGATTCTATCTTTAATTACATGGTAACACACCACTGAACAATATGATGTGTATTTTTCCCCTGTTATAAACGCTTGTGACATTTAAAAAGGCAGCTTGGTCGTAGTTATAACGGCTACGTGGGGAGCAGAAATTTAATAACAGAGGGTTCTTCAGTCTGGTGGGCAGGTACACGATGAGACTTGGTATCTGGCTATTGAGGATAAATTCATTCAGAGGAGAAATAGAGCATGATTATTTTTAACAATGAAGGTAATTAACCATCAGAACAATTTACCAAGGGTACCAAAAATTCTCCACAAGTGGAACGTTTTTAATTAAAATACGCTCTGACGGAACCCCAGGTATCAGGCTTGAAACAAGAACTGACTCAGGGAAATCCTGTAGCCAGTGTGATGGGGGGAGTCTGACTTGGATGATCACAGTAGTCCCTTCTGGCTTTAAAATCTGTTAATCTTGCACAGCAGTGTATTACTGTACTCACCAAAGACAAAGAAAGTTGAAAGCTGCACATTAAATGAGGTGAGAACTCTTTACAAGATACTCTTACAAGTCGTAGGAAAACCATAACTTTGAGTTTATCTTTTGAGAACTAGTAAGTGGTGATGGAATGAGAGATAATATGGAAATGTTCTCCGTGTTCTTCTGATGAAATAATAAATCCGAGGAATGTGAGGATATGAGGAATGTGAGCAATGGAAATTTAAGGGAATTTGAATTCCAAGTATGATCATGTCAAGTCGTTATATGTGGTATCATTACTGGATAGAATGCCTCCTTGTAAAAGCAAAGATGACAGTGGAATTCTGCAGTTTGCAAGCATGGAACAGGTTCTGTGCATGGAGAAAGAACATATTTAAACTGTTGAAGATAAGGGTTCTGTCTTCACGGACCTCCTTTGACATTGTTATTCACGAAGGGCATGACCTTGAGCAAGAATAAGACCCTTTTTGCTATATCTTGATAACTTTTGAGTCTCTAGGCACTAAGAATGTTTCATGGAATTCCCATCTTTGAAATAAAATTTATAATAATGCACTTGTAATATCCACAGCTGTCACGTGTCTTGGGATCACCTTGTCTTAAACTGGTCTTTTCCATACCGCAAATGTCAGAAAAAGGAAAGACAATCTGATCACCTTTAAATAATCAAGAGGGGAGGAAGATATTTCTTGAATTGAAGAGGATGTCACGACCGAACAGATTCAGATAGGGATTTTTCAAATGTATTTTTACCCTCTCCAGTATTTTAATGTATTGTGCTAATAAGCTTATTGTGCTAATATTGTCTAATGTTTTCTAAATGTCACCAATTGGTGCAGGAATTAAAAAAAAAATCCTTAAATCTCTCAAGGGCTTTGCTACTGTCCTGCTTTAAAACAGTTTAAAGGATGGAACACTGAGCCAGGATCTGGGTTCGTTTCACAGTTTAGTAACAGGACATATGTACAGGCTCGACCCAGTGTCTTGATTTGTTAGTTGTACCTGTTATTTCTTCTGTGAGGATAGGAGAATTAGGAGACTGAATTGCATTATTACTTAGTGCTTCTGAAGCATCAAGTTCCATTTTCTACAAATCATCTGGTAGAAAATAGAGCTGGTTTGCTGAACCTAGGAGTAAAGCCATTACTTTGAAATCTTGTTCCTCAACTAACGAGAGTTAGTTCATTGTAAGAGAAAAGGTAAAAGAAATACACTTTGTTTTCAGGAATTTCTTTTCAACCGTTATAAATCCCATTAAATGGAAGCTTAACCCACTTTAAAATTTGAATTTAGTTAAAGCTATTTATTAGTTAAAAGTGAGTTTGAAATGATTTCAACTATTTCTGACATATTATCAAGTGGGATAATCTTAAGATCTGTCTGAGATTAAAAAATGAGAGTCCAAAGTTGCATTCCATTTTTAGCTAAATAAATTGCTGGGCACTCAAAAGCACAAAAATATGATTCATTCTAGTGTTTACAGCTGGAAGTGGAAATTTGAGGATCTAACCATCTGCTCAGCATGGAGAAAATGCAGGGCTTTGTATTTTTGCAGCACTTTGGGTTCTTTTATTGTAACATTATTTGTGTTCAGCGGAGTTTAAGGATCTGAGTGTTTTTCATTGTATCGAACTGAAGAGTTCTTTACAAATTTCCACCTTCATCTGGCAAGGCCATGGAAGTCAGCAAGATTACGTACAGGAGTGTGTAAAGGTTTGTAGGACTGAGTCCAGGTTCATGCTACGCTTCTTATCCTCATCATTAAAATATTACCCTCGCCTCAATAAACCTGGAAACCTCTTAAACAAACCCCAGCAACAGCAGAACTGCAGAGGGACCTTTAGAAAATGCTATAAATGGGAAAAGATTATAGTAGACGTAACATTATTCCTTTCACAAAAGAGACCCAGGGGTCTTTAATGCAGCATTTTGTGCTATTTTTATGTTTAGAACATATCAAACCGAGCGCACACTTCTCCTGATTTTCGTCTAAACTGCGAATGGTGCGATAGACAGATGAGATTAGTTGAAACGATGATGAAATCTCGGCAGAAGCTTGATACGAAGTTGCTAAAGATTTCAGTTGTAGGTAATATAATGGCTCCTTGTTTTCTTTTCTTGTAGCACTTTACCTAGTCTTGATGCTCCCTACCCCATGCTGGTATTAGTTGGCCCCCTAGCCTGCGGTAAGAGAGAGCTTACCCATAAGATCTGCAGACAGTTCAACAATTTCTTCAGATACGGGTAAGTTTGCTCCGTCAATTTAAAAGAACGCCAAGTGATCAAGGCTGGAATTGCTGCTGGTTTGCCTTTTTTTTTTTTTTTTTTTTTTTAAGAAGTTAAAGACAACCAATAAATGTTCATTGCTATATACATTTTATCTCTTCCCAGGGCTTGATTGCCTGAAGTCATCAAACACTTCTTGAAAAGAAAAGCTATTTCAATTATCATGTTCTTTTCAAAGGTGAACAGCAAACAAACAAACCAAAATATGTCCTTTAATGCTCTTTTTTTATTGATCTGTTCTATCATCTATGCTCACTAATGCCCCTCAACCTAAGCATCTGTTCAGATATGTGTGCATTTCTCTTAATTTTTATAATGTACCTGCATATAACCACATTAGCATGCATGTGCAGACTGCTTCCAGAAGCTAGGAAAGGAAGCAAGTGCGATTGCTGGACCAGTTTATTATCCTGTGAGTAGTGTTATCAAAGCAAATGGCACCTTTCAGACTTCACCACCTGCTGGGAGGAGTAATTCTCCCAATCTGAAAGGCCTGAATTATGATCCTTACCGTCTTGGGCTCCCTGGGTGTTTATAGGAGAGAAACTCTCTCTTTCCAAGGGAGATTCAGCCTTTGTCAATCGCTTCCCTGACATACCCACCTGTTTTCAGTGCACTGTAGATAGTAAGTCTGGCTAAGTTCGATCACCACTATCTGGTACCTAAATTTAGGTGGTGCAAGCTGTCCATCCCTTCCATTCTTCACAGTATCTGACTTTTATAGGTCCTGTAGCACATTCCCTTCGGCACTGGTCCGTATTCCTGTTATATTGTCATAGAATCACAGACGGTTTGGGTTGGAAGGGACCTTAAAGCCCATCCAGTGCCACCCCCTGCCATGGGCAGGGACACCTCCCACTAGCCCAGGTTGCCCAAAGCCTCATCCAGCCTGGCCTTGAACCCCTCCAGGGATGGGGCATCCACAGCTTCTCTGGGCACCCTGGGCCACTGCCTCACCCCCCGCACAGGAAAACATTTCTTCCCAAGATCTCATCTCCATCTCCCCTCTTCCAGCTCAAACCCGTTCCCTCGTCCTGTCCCTGCACCCCCTGATCCAGAGCCCCCCCAGCTCTCCTGTAGCCCCCTTTCAGCACTGGAAGGTGCTGGAAGGTCTCCCCGGAGCCTTCTCTTCTCCAGGCTGCACACCCCCAACTCTCTCAGCCTGTCCTTGGACAGGAGGTGCTCCCTCTGTCTCTCCTCTATTTTCTCCATTTTTCTATTACATGAATTTATTCCTTTTTAAGTGGATTTTGGCCATAGTTTCACATGTAGAGCATTTTCCCCTATAGGACCTGGGTGTCTCTTTGTGCACTCTTAGGTACTGAACTGCTGAGTTGTAAGAAAGGACCATGGAGAATGATCCCTTGGAGTTCTTAGCATCCCAGGACCACATTCTGCGTGTCGATGTGATGCTAGTAGTAGCCTTCTTCTCTATCATAATACACCACGGTGAAAAATCCTCTATGGATTTCTGTCTGCTCTGTACTCCGATTATAGCCACTTGCTGGATTAGATCATTAAACTGGCAAGTTGCAAGGTCATTGTAAGCAAAAAAATCTGTGAAGGCTATGATACTGGAAAAATGACTTTTTGCCTTTCTGTAAAGCTACTACTATGTTTGGAAAGACTAGATTGGAAATTACAAACTAATTGAATGCCAACTGAAATTTTCCAAGCATTATGTGTGTTTTTTTTTTTTTAAGAGCATTGCTTTTATACTGTGTGTTTTGTTTCCTAAAAGTTTTATGCATGAAGGGAGGGGGGGAAAAAAAAGGGAGAGACGGAATCTTAACAAAGCAGAAAATTACAACCATAAAGCAAAGTTGTATTTTAATTATTCAGATGAGATTTAAGCAATTTTATGGCTTATACTTTTAAATTTCAAACATTCCACTCGTTAAAAATGTATTTTATGCAAGATACTCGGGGTGTTTGAATGTAAACATGGCCTTGCAATTAAAAAGGGTTGTAATGTTTAAAGGTATTTCAAAAAAATAAAGGGAAATTGGACCCTCAAACCATCTGGCTAGTGCTCAGAAATGGCCTTTTAAAGCTGGATATGTTCATAATATCTTGAAGAAAATCAGGCCTTTGAAGTGAAATTTTACAGAGTCCACGTGTAGCACACTGTTCTCATTTGCTACGGCTTGCTGATAAAAAAAGTGGCACCTTCTAATGCCGGGAGAGTTAAGATCTGTCAAGCTCTGCATTACAGACTGAACTCCTTAATGCCTTATAACCCAGCTACCTTGAATAAATGAACAGAAATGGCCTGGTAGGTGGTATACTAGTAGGTGGTATTTTTTTTTTTTTTTTTTGATGGATTTTCCAGGACAATCCAGCAGAAGTCAAATATTTAAAATATTTTCAGTGTGAATCAATGCCAAAGCTCATCATCACACTTTTGTTCCTCTTATCCTACAATGTAAAAATTAAAACCAAACCCAAAGCAGAAACAAGTCACAAAATATAATTTCCTAAGATAGAACATGAGATGCTGCATACTTTAGTCTAGAAGTGCTACATGCATTGACTTAGCTGGGTTCTTGTGGTTTGTTTTTTTTTCTTTTTCCCCAGTGTTTCATCCTGGTTGTAAGCTCACGTATCTGAGGTTTATCCTATTGTCCTTACGTGGTGGCAGGCAATTCCTTTTCCTGCCTTGTATCCCACTTACCTCCCTAGTTTCAGGATTGTTTCTTCCCTTACTATTAGGGATCTATTTAAAGATTGGTCTTTATATCTCTTTCTTAACCTCACAGTTCAGCCTAACTCCTAGTCTCCAATTCCATATTTAGAATTCTACTTTATATCATCCACAAACTGACATAACTGGAAAAAAATGGTTCCATCATTTCTCTACTACAGGGTGCTGTGACAGCCTCAGTTCGGGCTACCCTGGGTTGGGGGCGATTTATAGCCCAAATGTAATGTTACACTTAAACTTTTTTTTTTGTATTTATGCGTTAATCTTTCAAATATGCGGCATTAGTGGTATGATTTGCACCTCTTTATATTTCTCATATTTCTTCTCTTCTTAAAAATAAGATGATTTGTAGTATTTTCCCTTCCCTCCCCCTCCTATTCCATAGCTGCTTCTATGATTGAAAACAGGTTATTTCTTTATTATACCATATATCTTCCAGTCCTTGTCACACTACCAGGGCAGCTTACTTTGGTGAAGAAAACAGACTTGATTACTATTTCGTTTCTCAAGAAGAATTTGACAAAATGGTGAACACGGTAAGTAGCTGACTAGTATCCTATACCTACTTCTTACACCTAGAGTAAGCTCAACTTTTCTGTCCAGGTCTAATTTTTTTTTTTTAATCTTAAGTTTGTGTCTCTGTGTGCATGCTTATTCACTCACAGTTACGTGGCTTAAGTTTATACACAGAAACCACAAATTTGTTATATATTTATGCTGTCTTTTCTTCTGTATGCATGTATAGAAATGATTAAATGAGCATAATGGTCAGGAGGAATCTTTAAACTTTATTATACTGTAGAAATAAGCTTATTTCCATATGCAAGTATATGAAAGAAAGAAAAAGTCTTGAAATAGCTGACTTTTTTTTTTTTTTCTTTTTTTCAAAATCTTCCAGGAACCCAGCAGTGAATACAGTCTTTTAAAGTTTAGCAAATTTACCCTGAAGGCATTGTGTTTCTCTCTGAAGGCAGTGTGCCTCCAGCTACTGTTTCTGATGCCTTGGGCTGCCTGCAATAAAACTTGGGCTTGAAAAGCCACAACAGAGCTCAGTATTTATACATACACAAACAGGAGAGCCAACACAGTCTTCAGCAACTGATCTGGTCCTTAATGATAACTTTCAGTAATCAAGCAGTTTAATTTTAAAAGAATATAATCTGCTTACATACTACTGGGAACCAAAGTTTGTCAGGTTTTAACATTGAAATTTCTTGGCCAATTCGACATTCTCCTTGCAGATTTGTTTCTCTCTTTTGTTTGACATCTTCTCGTTTATACGCCATAGCCATATGGTTTGATGTCATGTCAAAAGAAGGATGTTCCTTGCTTTAGATCTTGCTTTCTTTACGGAGTGAATGAATAACCAACGAAAGCTGTAACCTGTCAGCAGCTTGTTTTCAAGATAGTGGGGTTTTGTTATCCAGGAACGCTGTACAAGCCCGTACCCCGCAGGACTGGCTCTGTGCTCTTCTCTGCAGATTTTGTGCTCCCATTGGCCTCATTATCATTGATGATTTAGGCAGGGAAAAAACTTTGTAGGGAGAGAAAGCGAGGAAGTCCAGAGTGATTCTGCTCCTTTAAGGAAGTCGTTCCCCTTAAAATATTATTTCCTTTGTCATTATACCTTGTGTTTTGAATTTCAGGGGAAGTTTATAGCAACCTATAGATACAGTGGCTATTATTATGGACTTGGAAGAGACACTATAGAATCAATTGCCAGAGAAGGTCTTGCAACTTGTGTTCACCTAGAAATAGAGGTAAGGGTTACTTACTGCCTCACCATTTTTGTATGAGTCCTGGAGAGGAATTCATGCAGTTTGACTTTGTTTCAGCTGCCTACTGACACATGAGACATCCTGTGGCCTTCTGCCCAGCCCACAGCTGCTGATGGGAGATTTGAACTAGTTGGGTGGGCTGCATTATAGTCACTGGAGATATGTTTGGTCAGATGAACTACATTTTTAACTCCACTGCCTGTATCAAGTAGCTCTCCATCATCTATACGTAAACCACACCCTACACTCCCTTTATAGACACCCACATTTAGTCAGATGGCTTCTTAAAATTTCCTGATCTATTTTTTTTTTTCTTCAAGTAACCTCATCTCTGCTGTGTCAGCCTCTCAGCTTTTCATTCGTACGCTTTCCACCCATCTGAAGCTTAGAGGGGGACTTGTCTAGAGCTGTGCTCCTACTGATGACCCCTAAAAGAATGCCATGCTGGCCTGAGGCAATATTTTGGGCAGAACTGTTCAAAGATGCAATCTCTTTGAGGGATTACTTTACCTTCTCTGAGATTTCTCAGGTGCAGATGAACAGATGGCAGAATCTCAAAAGTCTTGTTAAGAAACTGGGTCACAAAGTGTCAAAACGCATCTACTGGAATCCCAAAAGAATAACTTTTTAGCTAATTTTCTAATGATGTACTTCTCATTATCTTAGATCAAGATTTACTAGTTAGGGGTTGAGGTGACAAAAAGGAAGGACATGCTACATTTCTTTCCAAATTCTTTCTACAAAATAAGCTCCATCTATACAAGCTTCCAAAATGAGAGACTCTGTAGAGTGCCTGGAAGGCGATACTGAGTGTTGCTGGGTTTCACTGTGCTTGTAGGGCTCAGCTCTACCTCTGGGGGTCTACTACAAGTTAACAGACACTACTACACTCCATGATAGATGGGGAAAAAAATAATAGAGATAAAAAAGAAATGTAGGAAACTGCCATGCTAACAAAGGTTCCCAAGTTGTGCATCCAGAATTAGGGGAATGACTAGGGAGACTTGAGCAAAAATTGATGCGAAATTTAATTAGTTTTAGGATATTATTTGTTTTGTGAAACTGATGATTGAAAAACTAGTTTTCAGTTAAGAACCTTAGTGTTCATAAGGAGTTTTAGTCCCCTTTGGCCCAAATAAATCTGTACACATTTACTAGCTTGCATAGAAATGTACAAATGACAGAATAGCAGCATGTCAGTACTAAAAAATGAGTAAATCCTGGCTCAAATGGTCCACAGTTTAATGCTGCAATCCTGCTCTTAATTGCCTGTTACTTGACTGATACTAAGGAGCAAATTAATAAGCTAGTGTAGTTCCATTTCCTCTTTTTCTTCAGTCTTATCAGAGCTGCGAGTCACCGTCAGCCTCCACTGATTGTGACAGGTATTGCCTTTGTTGTCTTGCCAGCCAGATCCTAAATTTACAAGGGAAGAAATATCAGAGAAGATGAAATATGATGGAGTGGAGTGTCTTTTCAAGCTGTCAATTCTTCACAAAGTAGATGTGTTATCAAATAATTTAGGAGAAAGAACTTAATGGAAAGTCATGTTTATTCATAAGGAGGTTGACCTAGTGTCATAGGCAGTGACCGTAACTTTTATGGGGTATTACTGAAGCTACTGTCATGGACAGACAGCTAAGAAACTCCTTTGTCACTGAAGTTTCAATATCACGTAGTAATTATGCGTAGTCTTGTATTGCTGTGGACTCTGCTAGCAGATGAGAAACAATAATGGTGAGTTATGGATCTGGATAGAAGTTATCGGAGTCCATTATCTTCTGCAAGGCTCATAACAGAAGTGATTTAGCACTATTAAAAGAAATTTTAATTATGGTCTGTGGGCTGAGACTAAAAATTTAGAGTTGTTCATTCCCTTTAATCTAGAGTATATCTTTCACTGATAAAGGCGACTGACACAAATTTAAAAAGTGAAATCTTGCTGAGTCTACACTTGCAGTTAGCGAAGCTGCTGTGATTCTAACACAGCTATGTGTTGGAGTAAGCACATCTGCAGCGGTTTCCCTTTGCTTGTGTAGCCACAAAAACCTGCAGAGCAATGGAAGGAGCTGCACGATCCAACCAAGAGTGTAGTGGCAGAGTGGTTAATGTGTCTCATTATGCTTCCAGAAATATCTCCTGCCAAAGCCCATTCTCTGTTGCATTCGTTGCTGGTTATCCAGTCATTCAGGCTGGGGAGTCAAAGGAGGTAGGATATAATACCAGTCACATCTTTTCTATAACCCCATGCTGTTAACTGAAGAAATTGAGGTGCTTTAGCTGTGTTAAAAGAATGGACGTCTTCAACTCAGGCAGTGTTTCGATATTTCTTGACCTCATATGCAAATTCAGGAAACTCAAATTTTACTCCTCTTTTTTATTTTCCAAATATCTCCTTGGTTTCAAGCTGTCAACTCCAGTATTCTCCCATTTCTTTTTTAAAATAACTTTCCTTATATTCTATTTCATATTAGACAGTCACTCCTTCTGTTGTTTCTGTACAACAAATTCATTGGGCAGACCAGAAGCTTTCTGTATCTCTTCCTTTTTTCTCCTCCCCACTCATCGTAGACTATTATGGGCTGCCTCCCTATTACTACATAGTTCTGGGACATAGGAATCACTTGTTATTTCTCAATCAGAAAGAGAAGTCATTCATGGTGCAACTTCAAATGAGGCAGGTGTTACTTGGCTGGAATGTGGATCTGCTTTCTGCTGGTTGTCTGATCTCTGAATAATTCCAGGACTAGAATCAGAGAATCATTAAGGTTGGAAAAGACCTCAAGGATCATCATGTCCAGCCGTCAACCCACACCACCTAACCCACTAAACCATGTCCCCACTAGCTAAAAGCAGGTGGTCACATAGCTGGATGCAAAGATTCCTGTGCCCCAAATTCTCCCCTTTAGTTTTCGCCAAACTAAATAGGATTTTCCCCAGAATTGCTCCCTGAAATTTTCAGAATGGATCAAAGTACTGTTCCATACATGGAACGCTGCAACCAGGAAACAAAAAAAAATATCTCGTAAGTGTTCAGCCTATTTTGCATGACTTTGCTTATATGTTAGAATTATTCTGGAGAAGCCCGGCTTTAAGGATGTGACGGTCCATTCCGAAGAAGTGATGAACAGTGCTCAGATTTAACGTTAGTCCCTCTCTGTTCCTACCCATGTCTCAATGAAAATGAAGTAAGCTTCCCTACGTTTACTAGGGGGCAACAATGTGCATGATCTCACTTATCTTTGGATAATTTGTTCATCACCAGACATTTGGTTTTGGGGGTTTTTTTGTTGTTGGTTTGGTTTTTTTGGGTTTTTTTTTT